CTGGGGTTGTTGCTGTGACTGTACTTGACCATGTTGTTTTGAAGTCCTTACATCTGTTTTTGGAAGAATTTGGAGATGCTGTCTAGAGAACCCCTAGAATGATGTAAGCTGAGTTTGATGGGAGATTCTGGTCAGAGTTCTGAAGACTACCGTGTGACAGAAATGCAGGCTGTAATGGGAAAGGCCAGCCTCAGGACTGCTCCCAGTTTCAATTGGGAACAAGGACTCCATTGAAAGATGGACTTGATACCATGTGTAAAATGCTCTGGTAGAAAATTTGTGTACCTTTTGTTAAGGTCTTGAGACTTTGCAGCAAAATGAGAAGGGTGGTAGACGAATTAATCTGACAAAGTAAATTTCAGCCTAATTAATATGGTAGAAGAAAAGCAGCCCAGTGTTGAGGCTGTGGCATGGATACTGTTGGCAGCTTTTAGTTATACCTACTATGAGAAGCAGGAACACAAAGGAGTTATTTGAAAAATTTTACATGTGGCCAGAAAGGAACTGTAAAGCTGGAGACAGTAAAGTCTTGGCTAGGATAGATTGGTTGCTGAAAAGGGTAACATTAACAAGAAGCCAAGTACTTTCTATCAGGACAATAGGCCAGATGACCTGATCACATCTTAGAAATCCCAAAGACTCCATCTATCAAAATGGTTTGAGGATGCAAGACTAAAAAATTTTTGGTTAAGAAGAGAATCGCAGGGCACTTTGCTCCAGAAGTATCATCTAAAGCATTGATTTCCCAGGATCCAGTGTGCAGTCTTTAGCCAGCTGGGCACTGAGTCCTCTGCAATGATGCAATAGGCTTGGCCACTGCTTGAACTGGCAAGATTTCAGAAGAAGGCTTGGTGCCCCTGAAAGAGCAGTGCATGAGGCTGTAAAAGTGCAGGATGCTGGAGAAGCCAGGACTGTGGGCGGATTGAAGAAAGTTACAGGCAGTGAGCAAAACCACCCCAAGAGAAAGGCTGCAAGGGCTGTAGCTGGCAGTGCACAGGGGCAAGACTGCCATTGGGCATTCACATCTCTCCAAAATACGCCCCAATTTTTGGAGACAGAGGTATGGGATTTAATGTTTGCCGTGATGAGTTTCCCTCTTGTTTTGGTTCCATTCTTTTCTCTCTATTTATTTGTCTTTTTTGAAATGCAAGTGCTTGCCCTGTGCCACTGTATGCCAGCAGTGTTTAACTTTTTTTATTTTTACAGGGGATCACAATTAAGAGTTTGGCTTGGAACCGGGTGTAGTGGCTCATGCCTGTAATCCCAGCACTTGGGAGGCTGAGGCAGGAGGATCTTTGCAAGTTTGAGATCAGCCCGGGCTACAAAGTGAGTTCAAGGCCAGCCTGAACTGCATAGAGACCCTGTCTCAAAAAGACAAAAAAAAAAAAAAAAAAAAAAAAAAATAGAGTTTGCCTTGGGTCTCAGAGGAGACTGATTGGATTTTCTAGCAATGCTGGAAAGGTTAAAACTTTGGAACTTGTAGAGATGGGTCAAATGCATTTTGCATAAAGAGATGCATGCTAGTCTTCTGGGGACCAGTGGCAGAATGTTAGATGGCAGCTATCTTAGTTACTTTTTCTTGTTGCTGAGACAAAATATCTGCCATGCAAAGTTAAAGAGAAAAGATTCATTGTAGCTCACAGTGTAGAGAGGTTTCAGTTCAGAGGTGACTGGCTCTAAGAAAGAGGTGTATCATAGAAGAGAAACAGTTCGTGGTAGACAGAAGGCAACAAGGTATTAAAATGCGGTGATTGGAAATTAACAACAGTCTTTTTTCTGTCTTTTGTATTCTATTGAGGCTACCCATGGTGAGATACCCTTAACCCTAGCATTGTACCATGAATCAATCCTAGTATCACATTCTTAAACTCAGTATCATACCTTCTAGATCCAGCCACCTCCAAAAAGTCCCAACTATGACCACATGAGGCTTTGGGGGGACCTCTAGATACAATCCATAACAGCCCTCAAATCCTCATGTATTTGGAAGGTGATTGGATTATGGGGGTGAAATAGCTGGTCTCTGGGGGCATGTGAGAGTATGTGAGATGACTGAGCTCCAAACAGGAGGGCTCCCTCCCCTTTGCCCAGCTTCTGCATTCTCTCTTACTTCCTGGCTGCCATGATGTGAGCAGCTTTCCTTTTCCAGGCCCTTCCTTTCCACCACGCTGTTCCTGCATTGGAGCCAGTGGCCCATGAACTCAAAATGTAAGCCAAAGTAAATCTCTCTTCCTTTAAGTTTTGGGTGTTGGGTATCCTGTCTCAGCAATGCGAAAAATAACTGAGACACACATGCAGGGATGCTCTGAGAATGTAATGTCACTTTCATCATATTCTTCTAAAAACAGTACAATTGGAATTTGAGAGACTACAAGACACACCCAAATTGAACATTCTAGAAGTAATTGTCCTGCACTCTTCACAAATGTTGGTGTCATGAAAAACAAGGGAAGATGACAGTCTTTTAGATTAAAGGAGATCATACTAGCTACAGTTCTCAAAACAAAACACCAATCACTATATGACTTAAAGGACAAAACTTATTTTTGACAATTCTGGAGGATTGAAGTTCAAGCTGAAGGTGTCCACAGGGCTTGGTTTTCTAAAGGCTTTGTGCCTTGTCTTGCAGGCAGCCACTTTCTTGCTGTGTTCTTACATTGTCATCCTGTTTGTGTTTTCACTCCCTGTGAAAATACCAATCACACTGCAACAGGATCCACAATTATGACCCTATCATTAGCTGTACAAGGCCCTGTCTCTTAATATAGTCAGATTCTGAGATACTGGGGATTCTGGCTTCAGTATATGGATGAATTGGAGGAGCACAATTCAGCCTATTATAAAGGGGACTCTTATGTGTGATGTTAATTGGTATAACGGTTGATACATTGTGTCCCTGTGAGAAGTCCAAGTAATGAGCAGCTCTATAACCTGAGGTGTAGAGGACAAGCTGTTACTGCTCTAGGATATCAAGTTGAGAAGGTCAGAAGTTTATCTAAGTGATTCAGCAGCCAACCAAGTTCTTACTTTGTAAATACCCTCAGCCTGGACAAGAGAATGGTACAGAGATGGTGTGAGCACTACACACCAGGTATTAGCCTGCTTACAATATAAGGAAGACAAAGAGGCTTGTTTTCCTCCCTTTTCCTCTTGATGCTTTTGCTGTCTTCTGTCTCCTTGAAGTTTCCCCCCCTGCCATGCCACCCTGCTTTGGAGCCAGCTGATTATGGATGGAAACTTCCACAAACTGTGAGCTAATTAAACTGTTTTTCCTTTACCTTTGGACATCAGGTATTTTGTCTCAAAGAGAAAAGTAACCAAGACAGTTGGGGAAAAGGCTGCTATCAAATATATTATGAATAGAATAGGAAATAAGTATCTGTTATGACTTCTGTCTAGCTGTCCCTCCAAAGCCTCATATCATCACAGGGGTGGGTTTGCAGAGTTTGTGACTGATTCATGGTCCAATGTTGGGATTATAGGTGTGTGTGGTACACCTGCCTTGGAGCTGGTAGCCTGTATACAATATAAGGGAGGGAAAGAGTCTTGTTCTCCTGCTTCTCCCATTTTGCTTGTGTTGTTTTTTCTGTCTTCCACAGCCATGAACTGTTGTCCTCTGCTAGGCCACCCTGCCTTGGAGCCGGCCGAGTATGGACTGAAACCTCCACATGCTGTGAGCCAAGTAAACCCTCTGTAATTCTGGGCATCTCAGTGATGACAAAAAAAGTAACCAAGACAGTATCGATAGTGGTAGAGGAAGATAGCCTCAACTTGGAGATTTCTCCCCTGACAAATGGGAGCATGTTTCCCCTTCCTTCCCGTGTGGGCTGGCCTGTGACCACTTGGACCAGTGGAGTAGAGTGGAGTAGAATATTTCAAGTCCCAGCCCAGACTTCAAGAAGTGGTATCTGCCTTCTCTTCCTCCATACTCCTTCAGCAGCTCTACGTTCTGGGGTGTAGGGGACAAGCTGTTACTGTACTAGGATGTCATTCATTGTGTCAGTTTGAGAAGATCAGAAGTTTAAGTAATTCTGCAAGGGACCAGGTCCTTACTTTCCTGATTCAAGATTTTTTTTTTTTTTTTTTTGCTCAAATAAGCCATGTTAAATTCAGTTTGTCAAGTCTTTCTTTTAATGCGTCCTTGGGGGTCTTAAATCTGTTGGGCATTAATTCTGCTTCCAGTCACGTATGGCCTCCTGTACTTGATTTCTTTTTAAATCCGGCATTTGTATTGGCTTGAATTCTGCCAGATTCAACTGAGAGCACGTTTTGCAGAAGGGTTTCCACTGTTTCTGCCCGCTGTCCGGGGATTTTTGTACTCCAGCCTTCTCAATTCCATGCAGAAGGCTCAGGTTCCCGCCTCCTTGTTTCCATCCAGATTGCTGTGTCGTCACAGACTTGTGGCCTCAGTGTGGCCACAGACCCCAATTTAGACCCCGATGGCCTCGCCCTGGCTTTTCCGTGGTTGGTTTTATAGGGGTGAGGTAGATGAGAGGGTTCTTGGAGCGTCTACTTCAGGAGCAAGCAGGGGAGAGAAGCCAGCCTGAGTTTCTTCTCCCCACCTGAACATAACTTACCACACTTTTACTCATCTTAAGACATAATTCTAGCTTGGCTTCCTGTAATATTGTTAAAGAATGTAGGACTTTTCAGTGTTCATTCATTTGATACTCCCAACGGTACTGTAACATTGGAAAGGACAGACAATCCGCTAGGTGACGCAAGGCATTTTAATTATGCCCTAAAGCAGCAGGTCCCCACCCTGTAAAGTGATAAAGTTCTAATCTCCTTCCTCGGGCTTTGTGAGCCTTTAATGGATATGGAACTTGGGGGCGCGCCCGGCCCCTGCTGCACTGGCTGGGTGCTTTCTGATCATTGATGATGCCTGAGAGCAAGAAACGCCCCTGCCGGGGGGCGGCGTCCGCGCAGGGCCGCGCGCACCAGCAGGCGGCGGAGGCTGGGCCGGCGCTCCGGAGCCGCCTCCGGGGCGGGCAGGGGGCGGGCAGGGGGCGGGCAGAGGGCGGTCCCGGCCGGGGCAGGCCGTTTCTCCTTCCTCCGGGCGCCGTCCCTGGCGGCCGTCTCGCCGGTGAGTGCGCGTGGTCTGGGTCTGCGGAGGTTGGACGCGCGGCGACCGAGACTGGGGCGCGGGGGCCGGCCCCGGTGGTGCCCGGCTGGCGCTGGGCGGGCGCGGGGCCTGCGCGGCCTGGGCTCGGGGCGTCGCGCTCTCTGAGGGCCGGGCCGGGCCGGGCGGGGGGCCTGCGGCGGCCCGGCGGGGTTGGGGTGTCCGGGTGCTGCGCCCCAGCGCGGCGCTGCCTCCGCCGCGGGCCGGGGGCGCGGGGTGCTCCGGCCGGGGGCGCTCCAGGCGCGCGCTCGGCGTCTCCATCAGGGGTCCCCCTGCTCCCCTCCGGGCCGGCCCTGGTCTCAGGCGGGCCGAGGGGAGGGCGAGTTAGGAGCTTTCTCGGAGAGGACCACGCGGATCGTGAATGACTTCTGGACCGCGGCTCGCGGGTCTGGCTCGGTCTTTCCCGGGGTCAGCCGAGTCCTGCTTCTCCGTGTGGCCCTCCAGTGGAGAAGCGCTGTTAACTTACGGTGGGGGAAGGAAGCACAGAAAGAAAGGTGCAGGGAGTCTGCACCGAGACAGGCCTGGGTCGCGGCGGCAGAGCGCGCTGTCTCGGGGTGGGTGTGTGCACCGCGGCGGAGAGCTCCAGCTCCAGCGCCAGCGCCAGCGCCAGCGCCAGCGGCCGGCTGGCACAGCTGACCTGCTGGCGGACCGCGGGGATGACATTGGGCGGACCAAGGTGGGGATCTGAGAGCCAGGTGTGGTTTCCTTTCCTTCTCCTTTAATGATTAATTAGCCAATATGTAAAGGAAGGAAAGGAACATCATATGGAAGAAAGTTAAGGGATCTTGGGTAGGAATGCGTAGGAGTCAGAGTTCAGGTGGAGATACAGGCGGGGAGGCCGCTGCCCAGCTCCGGCAGGGAGTGCTCCGGTGTCTCTCGGAGGGGAGAAAATGCTTGATTGCACAGGCTGTTTATGGAGTTTTTGTCTTAAAACAGATTTGGCCTTTGCGGACACTACCTGCTGGGAACTGCAGAAACTCGGTACTTGACCTGTGTATTTTTGAGAGCGATTACTTTAATCAGGTTAAAAACAATTAGGATTTCTGTGAAGAGGGGTTTGACTGTGTAACCCGAGGGGAAGGGGGTAGGGCGGGCAATAAACCAGGCTTTGTTGTTGTACTCGGTAAGGCACTTGATACCAGTATTTCAAATCTACTTTAAACTGAGCTACTAAACAGAGGTGTGTGCAAGTCGTTTGAGCACTGACCATACCTTTCAAGTTCTTTTATCCAGAGAGGGAAGGTCCAAAGCAAGTAAGTTGTGGTTTTCTATTCGTTTTTTCATGCCATCAATGAACAGTGGTTTCCAAAACCTGACAGCATATCTCAGAACTACCTGCATTCCTTTTAAATCTATAGATTTTTTAGTCCTGCCTCAGGCCCTTTGAAATAAAAACCTCTGGGCATGTAGCCCTGGAATAGGTGTCTCAAGCAGAGACCACAGGTTTCCCCGGCATTGAAATTTGCTCAGATTCTGAGACTTTTCTTGGAGACTGGGGCATACTTACAAGTTTCCTTTAAGGTTGTATGAATGCATTGTTGCCACGATGTGTAACTAAAAATTATGGTCCCTGTCTATTGTGTTACTTTTGAATTTAAATATATTTTAAAGAAAAACGATGTAGTCATTTTATCAGAAACAACGTTGTTTTGGGTCATAATGCTCCCCAAAAATTAGAACTTACAGAAGAAACAAAAGTATCCCTAATCTCTTAGAGATGACTGTCACTAACTCTCTTGTCATTTTATGTATGAAAGACAAGCATGCACGCACATATTCCGTAACTAGAATTGTATTTCAGTTGTTTTCACTACTCGGTGTTGAACTTGAGGCCTTGTGCTTGCCAGGCAAGTGCGGTATCCCTGAGCCACATCCCAGCACTGGAATTGCATTTTGTAAAAATTTTATGTGTGTATTTTTTCTACTTAGTTATCACGAGCACTTTCCCACTAGTTGAGGTCTTTTAAACACGGTATTGATAAAAGCATATGTTCTGTAATATGGATGTACTGTGATTAAATCAGATTCCTGTTTGGATTCTTTTCAATTTTTGGTTATTTTCTCAATATTAGTCTGAATAATGTGGTCTACTGATTTTCTGCATGATGAAATCAAAAGCTGTTCAAAAGCAGTTAAGCTAATTTCACATATCTTTTTACTGTTTTTCCTCACTGAAAGGAAAATGAACATTTCTGAAGGATCTATTACTTTCCAGGCCGATTCTCCTATTTCAGTTCTCAAACTTCACTGTATAGAAGATCACTTGTTAAATTCCATTTTCTTGAGGCTCAGACCCAGCTGTTTGTTCCTGGTAGCTCTGGTTGGGACCCAGGACATCTATACTTTTAACCCACTCCCCTGTGCCTTGGATCAAGGTACTTTTAAACTGTACAGTGGGAGACGCTTTTTAGAAACTGCCAAGTAGACCCCCCAAAATTGGGTCACTTGACAAAGCCATTCGAACTCGGCACTTTGTGACTTTGGAGTCCTGTTGTTTCCCTATTTTCTGAGAACTTCTTAAATATTGGGCAGTGAAATCCCTCTAATGAGTGCAGAAAGTGAGCTCCTGCTGGTAGACCCCACTTTGTATGTGTCAGGTTGGTTGGAAGCATGATAAATAAAAAAACAAAACAAAACAAAAAAACATAGCAAAAAATGCCAGATGGTTCTCTTCGAAAATGAATTTACTTCTGTATGTTGATTTGGCTTATACTCAGCCTGACATTCTTTTTTAATTTTTATTTTAAACTAATTTTAGCCTTATTTAAATGTGATAGCAACTGTATGTGGTGGTGCAATTTGATAGTCTAGCACTGTGGGGACTGAGGAGTGACCTGGGTAATTTAGAGACGTAGTAACACCCTGCCAAAATATAAAATAAAAAATGGGCTGGGGATATAGCTCAGTGCAAAGGTCCTACGTTTAATTCCAGTACCATGCACATTGCATGTATTATTTAGTCTGTCCTGACAGAAATAGTTCCTAATAGTTTTCTCATCTTTCACAATTTGACCTTTTAGAAGAACACCAACTCATTATTTTGTGGAATGAATTTGATGTATTCTCTTGCTTATAATGAAACTATACATATTTTTGGCACAGATATATTGCAGAAGTGGTTTTTTCCCCTTGGCTTACCTTATCAGAGGTTTATGAGGTCAGCAGATTGTAACTTTGATTGCTTCCTTAAATTGGTAACTGGACTCCTCTATAAAGTTACACTTTCAGCTGGGCATGATCCAGGTACACACCTGTTATCCCAGTACTCAAGAAGGCCGAGGCAGGAGGATCACAAATTCTAGGTCAACCTGGACTATTTAATGACCTTGTCTCTAAATAAAAAATGCAAAGGGGCTGGGGATGTGGCTTAGTGTAAAGGCTCTAGTTAAGTTCCCAGTAACATACACGTGGGAAGAAGAGGAAGAGGAAGACGAAGAGGAAGAGGACTACCGTATTTCTTTTTGTAGTTAATAATTACCGGTCATGAGTTCGATCCTCGGTACCGATAAAAAGTTAAAAGTTAAAAATAATTGATACTTTACTACTAAGCACATTATCTTCAAATTTTGATCTGTTAATTTAGTATCCATCGGTGGATCTCATCTGCAACAATTATTACAGTGGTATTTGCCTAATTGTGACTTTTTTTTGGCCATCTCCCATGTTATGGCTTGTTTAAATGTCCCCCAAAGCCTCAGGCAGTCATGGAGGTGGCTGAATCTAGTGTTTGTGATCGGTTTGTTGACTAGTGCAGGGATTGGTGGGGTGCTCCTCCTCTTTTGCCCTTTTGTTCTTGTCATTTGTGGCTGCTATGAATGCTTGCACCTTAACCATGTCATTCTGCCTCGGAGCCAGCTGAGTGTGGACTGAAACCTCCAAAAGCTGTAAGCTAAATAAACCTTTTCTGCCTTCATTTTAGGCATCAGGTGTTTTGTCTCAACAAGGAGAGAAAAGTGAGACATCTCACTTCATTAGTAATTAGAATATTCCTGTAAGAAACAGCTGTCATTTCTCAATCATTTGTTTATTGGATCACGTAAATCAATATGGACTTGTGGACATTCGTTTTACTCTGTGGGTCAGAACAGTATCATCATTGTTATGTTGCTCGGGTGCTTCCTGTTTGGCCCAGTCTTTGAGTTTGAAGGACTTATGCTGAGAAATAATTGTCAGTATTTCCATCTTACCTCACTTGTGAGGTCCAAAGGACTGGACAGTGATTACTCAACTCTAAGGAGTTGTATATAATTGGGAGGCTAAAGGAAGGAGACTTAGGTATGGCGCTTAGTTATGTGTACCTCCTAGAAACTGCCAGACTGTAAAGAGTAGCAAATACCGGCCTTTGTACTGGTGTTGCCCCAGGGCCTCTCGAGGGAGCCAGGACCCTGCACCTGCCCCAACACCCAGCATCAGCGGAGAGTCCAGAAGCAGCAGGCTGAGTTGGTGCTCTCAGTGCTGCATGAAGTCTATGGCCTTCCTGGTCAGTGCTTAGTAAATATTTGTAGAGTGACACTTGTGGTTCTCCATACTCCAGGGCACTGCAGAGATTCTCCAAGGGTGACATTTAGGATTCCTGCCATTTAACCTTTTGCTATAGCTTTTCTTCCTTGTTGGGTGATTATTATTATTGAAAACGTCAAGCATGTACAAATGTAGAGAGAAAAACCATCAGGTACCTGTCCCTTTCTTTAATACTTTCCAGTGTTTGGCCAATCTTCCTTCATTTAATCCTTTTCTTTCCTTTGGGATAGAAGGTCTTCAAATTTAAAAACAGATTGCAGCCATTAAGTTGTGGGGAAAGACTGAAATAAACTCTAAAGACAAGGACTGTATGTTGTTTTCTATCTCCTTGGTGCCTAACCTGTGCTTAAAAATAGCAAGTGGCGCAGCAAAGACTGGTTGAATTGAGGAGAGGAAAGAGAAAACTATGGAAACACCTTCATTTTGAACACACTCTGGGGCAG